CGCTTCCTGAAGGGGTAGCCATACACAACCTACATTTTGATTAGCATCAATTGATAAGAGTCCATGATGGATGATTTACTTACCGAAACCTGCACGATGATCATGGCCTGTGTCAAGGCTTCTCTTCCACCCAGTTTCATGACCATGAGAATACCCATTGCTGGTAGAGGCAGCAATAGGCTCATCTTGACGTTCAGCCCTGTGCTATACAGCGCGCTCCCCAGATGCCATTGATCGCGTTGATAGCAAAAGACGGCCAGCCAGAAGAACAGCACCGCGAAACAATCATTGAAGCATCGTAGCATGAAAATACTATGCATGCGCTTTGAGAGAATCAACAGCGGGAAAATGTAGGGTGGAACCTATCAACTCGTCAGCTTCTGTTCCATGCCGCCAACATCAACAGCCAGAATGGGAAAGTACTCACCCGCGCCTTCCTATAACATTGAAAAACCACACCAAGCGTAAGCAGATACACTCCCGCGAAAATGTACTGCGCGAGGGCGATATCCCGCCCTTCATCCGTCCACTTGTAGAGCTGCTTGTAGATCCACACATGCGCACCAGGGTACACGAGCGGACCCGTCGAGCCAGCAATATTCTTATAGTCGCGCTCGCCTTTCAGAAAGATGGCTATCTGCTGCATGTACGTCGTCCAGTCAATCTCTGTATCTAAAACTCTCGCTGTTAGGACACGTGGTGCGTTTTCCGTGAGTAAGAAAGGAGCACGAACAAGGTATCTTCTCGATTATCACGCCTGAAAGCGCGGCGTCTGCTACGAGCAGGAGCGGAGTCATCCATCTTGTGTGGTCGGGGTTGTAGGCTAGGTCTTTTGCGCGGGCGAGGAGCGACATGGCGGCGTTTGTTGCACGCGGTTTTGGTGATGGCAAGTTCGGGGGTTAACGTTGGTGTTATAGTTCGCGTCGCGTGTCACGTGGGAAGGAGGTTTGAGGTTTCAAGGATGGCAGTTTCGCGCGACGTGTGTTTCAGGCATCAATTTTCTCGTGTGAGCTGTGGATGGTGGTTTGACGTGGACTGCACGTTTTGTATGGAGTCAGACGCTGTTGTGCTCACGTCCTGGTGTTGTGCTAGTCAAGGCAGGCGCGAGGTTTGCGCGTCGAGCTTCGTTACTCGTTGCGTCGATGCCCTACACGCGATGTTCAATTCGAAAGTTGGTTTTCCGATGGTTCCAGTCGTCTTTTCTACTCGCAGCTCAAATACTTGTCTCACATAGCACGATGCAATTGTCCTAGTTATAATGGCACAAATGATGAAGAAATAAATGTTGCATTAGGTCTAGGCTCTAAGGAATGTCTATACAGGAAGCGCTGAGATGATCATAAACACTGAGAAAGGTCATAGCCTATGCTCAGTACTGGCTGGGTGCCGGGCACGCAGGAGCGGCGGCGGCGGGAAGGGGGACGAAGGTGACATAGGCATCAGAGACACCCTGGCAGACAAAGTCCTTAGGGCCGTTGCCTCCAGCACGGCAGTAGCTGGGAAGAGTGGTGGTACCGACATAGGTGAGGCTGAGGGATGTTAGCAAATTTGAACGAACCGCGCACTCAAAGGTATGGGAGAAACTTACTCGTCGCTGACACCCTGCTTGATGATCAGACCGGAACGGTCGCTTGAGAAAGCGAAGTCGATGAAGCTGTTCTCGCCGCAAGAGTAGAACTTGTTGTCCTCAAGCTTGTCGGCCTGGGAAGAGCAGTTGAAATCGAGGGTACCTCCGTTGGTAGCCTTGATGTTGAACCCGAAGCTGTTGTAGTAGGTTCCCTCAGGCTTGCGTCCGAAGAAGTTGGAGATCTTCCAGACGTAGTCACCCTGGGTAGCAACAGGGCAAGATGCGTCGACCTGGCGGGCCTCGAGAGGTGCGGCGCTGGCAACGGCAGCGGCAGCGAAGAGAGAAGCGATGGTGGTGAACTGCATTTTGATGGAGTTGGTTTGAAGTTGGGATGAAGTGTTGGATAGTGTGGTAGGTTGTAGTTGAGTGTGAGAGTTGCTGTTTGATGATGTCTAGAAAGTGAGATACTTACTGGCATTATATAGTCATCTCACCTCGTATTTGGGGTACTGTACTCCTGCCACGATCATCATGTCCGTCTCGTCCCAAGGTTCAACACGAGAAGATTGACACCAGGCGTCACCCTTGCCTTTACCCACTAGAACATACGAGAAAGGTGTACCATGAAATTTCTCCAGGAACACGAGCATCAGACGATGCCGAGAGCGCCGAAACCACAGTCTACCCCAATTTTGGAGCCTCAGTATCCTTGCCAACGGTGTCACGAACCAGTAGCAGCATCCGGGGTGACCGGATGAGGCGACAGGCATGTCCTATCCGGGCAGTTGGCAGCCCTAGCCGAGCTTGGATCGTGCTAAACATACGAGATGTGACGTCTAGCCCCCGGTGTCTGGCATCACGTTGCAGAGGTGTTAGGCATCGGGATCGCACTAATCGTTCGTCTACTTCTAGGGTATCTTTACCGTTGTTATAAACTAATTATCCTCCGTCGCAGAATCTATCCTCCGCCTCTGCGGCCCTAGTCACAATCCTAGCAAGATCTCCTTCGCGTTGTTATTGTACTGCTTCTAGCTAAAGTCGCCTAGTGCCTCTAGTTGTTCGTGGATTAAGAGAATTATTACGCTAGTGTTAAAAGCAATAATTGCGAGGTCGTAGAGAAAGGTAAGAGCTTCGTATTCCCACAAGGCAAACGAGCGAAGTTCTGCTAAGAAGTTAGAAAGGGCAGGTGTAAGGGACTTCGCTCTAGCTCGCTTGCAAGCTAGGGCTTGCATCCCTTAGCAATACTCCCTCTGCTGTGTGCTGCTTGCTTCCTGCTAGTTCTTAGCGTACTTAGAGAAGTTAAAGCGCTAATAGACTAGGTCTGTGCCGTCTAAGGTAGCTAATATGTACTCGTTGTACCTGGGGACAGCTAGTAAGGTAAGTATGCAAAGTAGCTACATATTTTTTATAACAAAGATAATTTTTAGGGTGTTGTACAGGAATTTAAGCGCTACCTGCGCGAAAATTTATGCTACCTAGAAACAGGCAACCGTAGCATTACGGGATTCGCACTTATAGTACAGCTGCCTCTGCTACTATACTAAACATACCTATCAAATTACAAGTTGAACAACCCAAATCAGACACCTGGTGTGACGTCTAGTAGGATGAACCAGGTCTGCACAGTGGCATTGGGCGCTGCACTGACTGGCCGATCGGCTGTGCAGGGCCTTGGTTCGGAAAACTAACGGCATGACGTCCTGGGCTATATGTATTCTAATTGCTGTTGCAACACCGTACATGCGATGGTACCTACGCAGGCGACTGCTTCTTCCACGTTCGTATCGACGCGGTATACCCTAGAGTGCTCGCGAACGACTATACCTAGGTAGCTTAGCGACACATTGGAAGCGTAAAAGATACATCCTATGTTCCTAAACTCGAGCCTGAGTGCTGTGGACCTGAGGAAGTCGGCCGCGTGAATAATTACTGCAATCTCGTAGAGTTCGATCGGTCCGTTCCCGAACGACCTCATCGTCCACAGAAATGGGTGGTCCGAGTGTGGGGACGAGCGTAATATCAGTAATCGGCGTTGCCTCCATCACCTTGAATAATTCCAAGGTTAGCACGGAGATCACTCGTGAACGAAGGATCGAAATACGACGTCGCTTGGGGTTGAACCGAGATGGTGGAAGGTTGAGCCTTGACATCTGGCAGGAATGGCATCATCGAGCCGGTTGTTGCGGCTGTGGCTGCCGATCACCTGCCTCGCTCGCGCCCAGGGTCCACGCTCAAAGACGGAGCCAGGAGCTAAACAATGACACCAACACCACTGACGCACCATCGGAGTCTGTCCGGCGGCACGCTATATTTGCTATTTTTGGACCCGCGATCGTGGGCTCACGCTCAACGCTGAACGAAAACTTTACGACCCAGGTGCACATCTAACTTCAAGGACTGGCATGCGTGGCGACGAACTCAAACTCACTGCACCCACCGTGCGCAAGGCGACTATCAAGGTACACAGAGATCTGAGACGGCACTCGAATATTTTACGGTTCCGTTCCGTCATTCTCGGAGATCTCGTTGCTTTTGAGACCTGACGGCATCTGCCTTAATTTCGATGGATCACTGAACATCTTGCTAATATGTCGGAGGCTGTCGGGTAGACGATACTGCCCTGGCGTCAATAGGACCGATAAACTATTGGATGTATGGACGCGGTTACGGTGTACGAAGTCAGACAATACTCTTACTGCGGATCTATGGACAAAGAAGAGACACTCACTTCGTGATCAGCGAAAGCTGGTTGGCAAATCCTTCAAGTTCTACCGCTCATGAACGTGGCTGGAGCCATTCGACCATCTTTGATGCTGGGTGCTAGCGGATCAGTAAGGGCACACGTCTTACACAAGATGACACGTAAGACCCTGCCACAATACACATGAGCAGAAGGAGGGGTAAGACCGGATCAACGACACTGAAGAGCACACCATGTGTACCTGTATTGTACATCCAGTGAGCTTGGAAGTTCGTTTGACGCAAGATGATGCAGGAATTTTCCAGTGTTGCAAATTTGGAGATCGAGCTTTCAGAAGCAAACTTGCATGTAGGGGCAAGAAAATCCGAGATGTACCACCATCTGTCACACGCGGTCAGTTACGAGTATCGTTGCAATCTACTGATTGCGGAATGTGTCGCAAGAAGAGGAGGTGTACCACAGTAAGTACCCGTCCTGCTGCCGTTGCTCACCGGTCGGACCACAAGGACAAGATACCCAAGTCAGCAAATTGATGGCAGCATGCATGGAATGCAGTACACGCGGAACAAGACATCTCCCAACAATGGGTACGTACGCAGGATGCTGGCTTCCCCAGACGTTCTCTTGAGTATAAACAGTCGGCATGGGCACTGTTTCATGCTCGTCACTTGCGGTTCCATCGGCTCTCGCTACGCTACCTATCCGTTCCGATATTGTCTGTCTGCCTGACTCATGGATTCTGTTGAGCTCGAAGAACCCTATGACGAGGAAGGCAATTTTAGCTATGGCCATAGCGAGGATGACCTCGACAACGATTACACAGGCAGTGGGGGTGAGCGAAGTGGTGAGGACCGATACGCGAACAGTGAGAGCAATGGAAGCGATGAAGCTCCCGATGATGCTTCAGCAAATGACACGGATGGTGAGCTTAGTGACAGTGTGATTAGCGAAAATCTTTCGATGTCACCAAGCGATGATGACGAGGAAGATGAGGACGAGGAAGATGGAGAGCTCGAGACAGGTAGCATGGAAAGCGATGCTAGTAGCTCAGACGAAGAGGACGAAGAGGACGAAGAGGAGGTGAATGACACAGAAAGCGATGTTAGTGGCTCAGACCAAGGGGATGATGAGGAGGTAAATGACACGGAAAGCGACGATAGTAGCTCAGATAGCGAGGCAGTATCAATCGACGAAGAAATCATCAACCCAGTAAGCGATGAAAGCGGCTCGGATAGTGAAGCAGATGTCTCGATTGGAGAGGGCGCTGGGGCAGACACCTCAGTAGAGTCTGTGGGATACAGCGGCATGTGCAACAATGACAGCACTACACACCATGAGCAAGAAAACGTCTTGACGAGTACGCGGAGTAGCCCGGGAGGGTTGACGGAGTTCAAAAAAGGACAGAACACCGCACCTATCCACCATCACAGCACCTACCAAGCTTATCAACCCAACAAAAACTATCAATCTACATACGACCATCAAGCAACCAACAATTATCAGCTGACGAACACCCACCACCCGTACAGCAACAATGAGAAGACCAGCAACTCCCCGACGATCGTTCAGAGCCGAAAGAAAGTTCCAAGACGTCTTCCTGAAGTACAGACTGTGCTCGATGCGTCGACGCTCAATCGCAGTAATACGCCAGCTGGTGCGCAGAAGATCGCGCATCCAAATGCGATGTCGTCCAAAAAGTCTAGAGATAACGCCCGCAGAACCAACGAAGCTCATCTCTCACACCGTACCAAACCTAATCATGGACACGCCGGACTACCATTCGAAACCAAGAATCCTCGAACATCGAAAGATCTTGAGAAGTCGAAAGCCGGCAATGAAATCAGTATGGCTGACGAGCTCTTCCTTCCGGTCATATCAACTCAATCTACCAAAAGCAACAAAAAGCCCAAAGCAACAAAACGCTCTCCTCGCATGCAGGAGACGGAAAGAACGCCTGTAGCAACTGCAAGTCACATACCCAGCAAGAAAAAGCGAAAGCCTACAGTCCATGAGATGAAGGGAGCTGCAATCCAAGTCCCCACCAACACCAAACAGCAATCCAACAGCAAGGCCAGCGATACGAAGTTATCCAAGAACGACACGCTTCGCTCTCATCCTCGACCACCCCTCGTATCTTCCAGCGACACAGAAGAGACATGGATCCCTACCAGCTTCTCCAACCCCCCTAAGGTTCTTCTCAACGGCCTCTTCACTGGAGTGATGATGCAGAGGCGAAAGTCTACAACAAGCATATTTGATCATGCATCGCATGCAATCATCGGCTTCAGTATGTCGAAAGAGCAAGGCAAGCGGTATGAGGAGGCTGGGATGAAGAAGTACAAGGCGGCCAAGGATGGTTTTACACTGTGGTGGAAGCCTTACACGCCATCGGCGGATTACTTTGATAGGGCAGACGAAGTTGAGTGATATGGAAGGCTGGCCTGTGAGATTCCGGATGATTGCCAATTCTTTTTGTCATGCTGTTGTCAACGTCACATGATGGAGTACCTAATTAACGTAGCCTTTTAATTCATCCCTTCCCAATCAGAGACCGCTAAGTATGCTGCAATGGTCGGAGCGAAGAAGCATGCAAAGCCAAGCCTCTGACGTAGTATCCCAGCCTAAAGCCTGCCCATATGTGGTGCAGGTTAATCGCGACCAAACAGACGATGCCAATAGATAGCTGTAATGCCGACGAACCGGTCAGCACCTCGTAAGATGTACACCGATCAGGACAACACCTAGCCGAACGTCATATGCCTCTTCCAACTCAAATAAGAGGTCCTCTTACAAGAACGCCTAGATCACCTTCCCAATTTTGCTTTTTGTATTTCCAATAACAACAAGATTCATTGGTTACGCACGCGATTCTGCAATACCTACCCCTCCATCAGCAACATGTCAGGCATCTTCAACCTCTCAAAGTACCTTCCCCGCGCCTCTCCTCATCATGTCCAGCCTTGCGATAGCGAGAAATGCGCCGAAGACTTTGGTCTCGACGTAATGCTCGTTTACCCAGAGTCGAAAGCGTCGGCTGAAGACTGGCCAGCAAAGTTCCGAGCTATCACGAAGTCAAATGTGTATAGCTTTCGTATGCGGCCAAAGGCACTGTACCCAGAGAAGGACTTCCAAAGCTCTTCAGAAGAGGATGCAGATCTGCCGACTGATCCAAAACCGGAAGGCGCCTACGACAAGTCGTCGACAAGATCAGTTGTATTTGTTGCTGAGACTCCCGAGGCTCGAACTACGTATGAGGAGGTGCGCCAGCCTGAACCGATCGTACTCGACCACATGAGAAGACGCATACCTTTTGCTGGACGTGTCTATGGCGTAATCGAGCTGCGACGCAACTCCAATCTTAAAATGACATGCATGCTCGCCTGGGGGCAATGGGGTTTGCACAACATCGTGAAGAACTACTACGGCTGCCGGCAATCGGCCGATAAGTGTCAGTCTGCAAGACAACCGAGAATCGTGACCAATCCGTCAACCGGCTTTGTTATCTTCGTCACGATTATGTCCATGTTGGACTATTGGATGCAGTACGACATGAATCGAGGGGACTATTACCAGCGACTTTGCCTGGTTACTGGGATCACGATGGGCTTCTTGTTGAGTCAGTCTGGTCCGTCCGTCGAATCGTTGCCTACGTTGATGGCTGCGATGAACTTGGCGATGACTTGCAGCGCTTTTGGGCACTTGATCTGGCGGAAATACTTCAGTACGTGTGAGAGGAGGCTCGAGCAGAAGCTAGACGAGTGGAAAGAGGAGGCTCGCCGTGCCCAAATTTACGCGCCGAAAGACTCCAAGCTCGAGTGCGAAGCCCAGAAGCCCCACGTTGTCAAGTTCCACGAGCTGGACTAGACGACGGATAAGCCAGAGGGAAATTCGCGGCGAACAGTCCACTTCGGTCATGTATTTCGAGTGTGAGGGCGGCTTGGGTCAGGGTATTGGGCAGTATTGTTATTCTTGATTGTGCGCGGGTCTATTCCCATTGTGTGCCTTTTAGTCGTTGCATGAGATATTCCACTTCCACCTCCTTTGTCAGGGGAATGACCCAATCCTGTATTGTCTGTTAGTACGCAGTATGAATCAATGAGGATATTGAAGGTACCTTGTACATGCCAACGACCGCGTCTGCATTCACCTTGGACGAGCCATTCGCGCCCAGGTCCGGGTCTGTGCCGTACGTCTTGGCCTTTAACCTCAGTCTCTCCAGCACCTTCTTCTCTACCGCAGCGTTTGTGATGGCCTCGTCGATACCTTTCCTGTCTTCGTCCTTGATCAACTTGACGAAGCGCTCCGTCTCCTGCTGGAACTTGGCCTCGGCAACGAACTTGCCAAAGTGTATGCGCCGTGACAGGGACTGGATGGTCATGACATCGCAGGTGGCAGAGGACCCGTAGTTCTCCTGCGACTCTCCCCTGTCCTCGCGGTCTGTCTGCAGGCATGCGGCGGGCAGGATGTGCTTGATGTAGCAGTCCTTCAGCTGGGCGTTGACGTTGACATTATTCGGGTGCAGGATCTGCGGGTAGTTGAGGGGCTTGAGGATGGGCTCCTGGAGGACCTCTGGGAAGAAGGGGTATTCGTCGGGCGACTGGTAGCGGCGAACGAGGGACTGCAGGCGCTCCTGCTCGCGGAGCATCCAGTCGAACAGGCTGGTCTCGGGCTCGCCAATGTCGACGCCGCCGGGGACGTAGATGGTCCGGTTGAGGGGGAACTGCACGCGCTCGATCAGATGGAAGGTGATTGTGTCCTCGAGCCGACTGTCTGCTGTCAGTGAGACTCAGGCGCGCATGGCGGGGAGGCGTACATGAGCTGGAAGCGGATGTTGGCCAGGTCAAGCGCCTTGGACGCGTCGGAGAGGTCAATCGCGTCCATAGTTCCTTCTCAAGCTCCCAAAAGGGCAGATATGCGGGTGAGTGATGTTTGCAGCCATGGCAGTCCGGTCGTGTCCCGAGCATCGGCGTGCTCTTCGGCGGATGACGCAGGCGGGTGCCGACTGGTGAGCTCGATAGTCACTCCCCTCCGCAACACCACTATCACCATCTCGAGCACCCGACGCGCCTCCCGCCTCACCGCCTATTGGCCTTTTGTAGCACACGCGAGCACCCGGTCTGAGATCCTAATGCGAAGATAAGGATGCCCTAGCGACGTCTCCTTCACTGCGCCGCCCGTTGAGTCTCCCGCCACGCCTGCTCGCATGGCCTCGTCCACCGCCCGCAATGGATCCCCAGGTCGCGGCCGGTCCACCAGCCCGCGCTCGCCGCGGTACTCGCAGGCCTTTGACGACGACGACGAGAGCAGCTTCATAGACTCGCTCCCCGATGTAGCCCCACCGCACCTTCCCTGAGCCCACGGTGATGCTAATGCTCGCTAGACCCGCCATCTGCAAGCTTTTGGCAAAAAAGTCACAGCCACCGCCGGCAGCTTGATAGGCGCCGAAGGAGTCACCCAGCACTACCAGAACGCCATTGGCGAGCTCCACCGCGAGCTCAGGCGCCCGCTGATGCAGCGCTCCGTCTTTTCCTTCGCCCAGACCACCCCCCGCGAGATCGTGCGCTCGCGAATCTCCGTCCCCGAGATCCAGCAGCGCGCCCTCGCCTACATCCCCAACGACCTGCTCTCCAACATCCCCGAGGACAACGCCGAGTTCTCCCTCTTCCAGGGCTTCGAGGCCTCGCTGCCCGACGCCCCCGACAGCCATGCGAAGAAACACGGCCGCCACAACGCGCGCGGCCAGCGCCTGATCGGTGGCGGGGAAGACGACGACGATCCCAATGTGCCCCCCTCGATGCAGAAGCTGCGGAAGCAGCGCAACAGCATGGGCCACCGCCTCGAGATGATGGGCGTGCGCAAGCACATGTGCGTCGCCGAGATACACGAAATCGACAACAAGATTGCCAACCTCAATACCATGCGCAAGATGGTCCTCGACCGTCTGGCGGGGCTCGAAATCGAAGAGGGCGAGCTGGAGCAGGACCTGCTGACCGTGGACAACCGCATTGAGGACCTGCAAGAAGAGCTGGACGACGAAGCCGCACTAGCGCCCAAGACGGCAGGGTCGCAGACAAGCGACGAGCAGTCAGAAGGCAAGGGCGAATTCATGTCCGAGTCGATATACCAGAAGATACCCTCCTCGCCCAAGACGAAGAACAAGGCCAAGAGGCTGTCAAAGAGGATGTCCATGCCCGTACTACACGAGCATCTACAGTCAGGATCCAAGATCAAGGAACTGCCCGCGCACATGGACGCCATCACCGCCATGGACTTTGACGCTCCGTGGGGCATGATGGTGACCGCATCGCTAGACGACACAGTACGAGTCTGGGATCTGAGCGCCGGACGGTGCATCGGAATGCTCGAGGGTCATCTCTCCTCCGTGCGCTGCTTACAGGTCGAAGAAAACATCGTCGCAACCGGCTCAATGGACGCTTCGATAAAACTCTGGGACCTGAGCAAGGCCGAATACGCACCCATGGATAACCGGATAAACAAGCCCGATGAAGAGAGCGATGATGGTCTGGCATTCGAGAACTCGGAAGACGCACCTCCTGCGCCGCCGTCGACCAGCATGCAAGACTGCCCTCTCTTCTCTCTCGAATCACACGTCGACGAAGTCACTGCGCTACATTTCCGTGGCGACACTCTAGTTTCCGGTTCTGCAGATAAGACACTACGGCAATGGGATCTGGTCAAGGGACGATGCGTGCAGACGCTCGATGTCCTCTGGGCTGCCGCCCAAGCCACAGCTACGAACACCTCCAATAGCACATGGCGACAGACCGGACGCTCTGCCGACTCCTCTGCCGATTTCGTAGGCGCTATACAGTGCTTCGATGCCGCACTTGCTTGTGGTACCGCTGATGGTATGGTACGTCTATGGGATCTCCGTAGCGGGCAAGTTCACCGAAGTCTTGTCGGCCATACAGGTCCTGTAACAGCCCTGCAATTCGATGACGTACACCTCGTGACCGGTAGTGCCGACAGGAGTATACGCGTAAGTCAACTATCTTTCCTGCGACTATTCCCTAACTAACATGCACAGATCTGGGATCTCCGAACCGGCGCCATTGCCGACGCCTACGCTTACGACCACGCCATTAGCAGCATGATGTTCGACTCACGTCGGATTGTGTCTGCAGCTGGTGCAGACGTAGTCAAGGTCTATGACAAGACAGACGGAAGGCACTGGGACTGCGGACCCGGAGCTGACGAGAACGACAAGACGACACACTCTATCATCGAACACGTCAGAATAAAAGATGGCTATCTGGTTGAAGGACGCAGAGATGGTACCGTTGGTGTCTGGTCGTGTTAGTAGAAACATAGAAGTAGAAGCGATGGGAATTGTATATAAGAACAGGCTGCGCATATGCCAGTCATGTAAATGGCAAAGTGTTGTACTGTTGCAAAATACTCATTAC